TGTGTGTGTGTGTGTGTGTGTGTTTATATATATATGTGTATATGTGTGTATATATTCACATCAAGTATTGTTCTTCTTATCAAAGACAGTAAGGCTATAATAGGTTATCAACATTACTTAACAGCACTATAGAATTAAAGTAAATATTTGATAAAATCAAGGAAGAGGGTAAACAGGTGAGATTAGCCACTTGTCTAAAGACAATTAATAAACTAAACTTATAATGGGCATAGCAAGTACATATATGCCATCCCCAGCTGAATTGGCTAAACTTCTGTTTTATGTAAATTTGTGTTGTGTGTATGAGTTTATTATATATACATATATACACATATACATATATACAGTCAAAACATATGTAAGACCAATCTTAGATTTAAATGAAGATTATTATGAAGAATAAACAACAGGAAAGGGAAAAACAATATGTATATATATACATATATTTGTCATCACTTGTGTTCTAGAGACACAATTACTTAACCCATTTGCGACAGGTAAAATGAACAAAAATGGGGAAATGCTGTGATCATTTTTTATACTTTTTGTGAAATGTCTCTACACATAGATGGCTCTGCCTTACCTGATTTCATTTGGCGGGAAAATGTATATTTTACTAGTGCTATGAATATCGATGGTTATAAACATTAGTAACAGTAAAATAAGATAACGTAAAATATTTTTGTAAACTAAAGAAAAAGGTAAACGGGTGAGACAGGCAGTACTCGCAACAAGTGTAGCATCTGTGTGTAAAAAACAATTAACAAGTAAACTCACAGTGGGCATGTCACGTGTACGTGACACCCGGTGCGAATGGGTTAACCCAATCAGCACGGATGGCAAGAGTACATGCCATGCCTACTGTAATATAAGTTTATTTATTATATTTACATATAGATGCCTCTACAAGTGCTTAGTCCCCAAGGAGTCAGTTAATAATCCTACCTATCTCACCTGTTTACTCTTTGATTATTGGAAAGTTTCTTTTGCATTATTTCATTGTCTTTGATGTTACCCTTAATAACAATTGGATAATCATAAGATCAGTAAAAATAATGATAATATCAATATCAATAGTATTAAAAAGAAAAACACATTTTCCTGCAATTTCAAGGAATGGGGAAATCAGGAGAGGTCACAAGGGCCTACTGATAGATTGAGCATACATGGAGCCATCTGGATGTAATAAAATTCACAAAAAAAATGTCAGGAGACCATACATAAATCTGTAGTGATTGGGTTATAAACAACAAGAAAGGGGGAAAAAATAAAAAAAGAGAAAAAGAAAAAATGTAACATGTATGTCATCATTTGTGTTCTTGACACAAAATTACTTTTAAAAATTGCAAGCCCTATACCTATCACAGAGTAGAACACTGATTATTTGGGACCACTCTCTTTATCAGTTTCTATGCAGTCTAATGCCTTAGAGTTTTCCCTCCTTATACCAAATTATATACACATTTTCTATAACACAGTTATTATGGCAACATGATGTCATGAGCATTTGGCTGAAGACCAGATTGATGAGAATGACTCCCCCACAAGTGCACTAAACTCTTGGAAGATGATTAGACTTAGTATTCATCATGCCTGCCATGACCTGTAGAGCAGGTTGTGTTACAGAAAATTTAATATTATGAAAAAAGTAATAAATACAGCAATACCAAAATAATAATAATTATTTTATTATTGCATTGAGTTTTATACTACCCTTAAGAGATAGCGAGTCTTTGCAAGGAAATCAGTCATTACCATCTGGATACAGCATATCAAAGGACAAATATAGACTTACTTTTCCAATGTTTGACATCGATAGACTTGGTATTATTAGTTTTAAAAAAATGTGGGAAAGCTAGATTATCTATAAAAAAATGGGGAAACTTCTAAACTTCTATAATTTTGAACTCCTTATACATAAACATTTTTTGAACTTAGGTGTAATTCATAATTGCCCAATATCATAATGAGGTTAGATTGCGTGACTACTGTAATTCTTTATTCCCTAACCCAATGCTACCAGGAAAATGCTGTGCGCATTTTCTATTTTTTGTGAATGTCTCTGCACATAGATGGCTCTGCTAGTGCTTAGCCACAAAGGAGTCAATTAGTAGACTTTGTGACCTTACCTATTTTTTTACCAATGCTATGAATATTGACGGTGTCATTATAATTACTATAATGTTATAGACATTTGTAACGGTAATATAAGATAATGTTAGATATTTTTGAAAATCAAGGAAGAGGGTAAACAGGTGAGATTAGCCACTTGTCTAAAGACAATTAATAAACTAAACTTATAATGGGCATAGCAAGTACATATATGCCATCCCCAGCTGAATTGGCTAAACTTCTGTTTTATGTAAATTTGTGTTGTGTGTATGAGTTTATTATATATACATATACATATATACAGTCAAAACATATGTAAGACCAATCTTAGATTTAAATGAAGATTATTATGAAGAATAAACAACAGGAAAGGGAAAAACAATATGTATATATATACATATATTTGTCATCACTTGTGTTCTAGAGACACAATTACTTAACCCATTTGCGACAGGTAAAAATGAACAAAAAATGGGGAAAATGCTGTGATCATTTTTTATACTTTTTGTGAAATGTCTCTACACATAGATGGCTCTGCCTTACCTGATTTCATTTGGCGGGAAAATGTATATTTTACTAGTGCTATGAATATCGATGGTTATAAACATTAGTAACAGTAAAATAAGATAACGTAAAATATTTTTGTAAACTAAAGAAAAAGGTAAACAGGTGAGACAGGCAGTACTCGCAACAAGTGTAGCCATCTGTGTGTAAAAACAATTAAACAAGTAAACTCACAGTGGGCATGTCACGTGTACGTGACACCCGGTGCGAATGGGTTAACCCAATCAGCACGGATGGCAAGAGTACATGCCATGCCTACTGTAATATAAGTTTATTTATTATATTTACATATAGATGCCTCTACAAGTGCTTAGTCCCCAAGGAGTCAGTTAATAATCCTACCTATCTCACCTGTTTACTCTTTGATTATTGGAAAGTTTCTTTTGCATTATTTCATTGTCTTTGATGTTACCCTTAATAACAATTGGATAATCATAAGATCAGTAAAAATAATGATAATATCAATATCAATAGTATTAAAAAGAAAAACACATTTTCCTGCAATTTCAAGGAATGGGGAAATCAGGAGAGGTCACAAGGGCCTACTGATAGATTGAGCATACATGGAGCCATCTGGATGTAATAAAATTCACAAAAAAAAATGTCAGGGGACCATACATAAATCTGTAGTGATTGGGTTATAAACAACAAGAAAGGGGGGAAAAATAAAAAAAAAGAGAAAAAGAAAAAATGTAACATATGTATGTCATCATTTGTGTTCGTGACAGAAAATTACTTTTAAAAATTGCAAGCCCTATACCTTTCACAGTGTAGAACACTGATTATTTGAGACCACTCTCTTTATCAGTTTCTATGCAGTCTAATGCCTAAGAGTTTTCCCTCCTTATACCAAATTATATACACATTTTCTATAACACAGTTATTATGGCAACATGATGTCATGAGCATTTTGGCTGAAGACCAGATTGATGAGAATGACTCCCCCACAAGTGCACTAAACTCTTGGAAGATGATTAGACTTAGTATTCATCATGCCTGCCATGACCTGTAGAGCAGGTTGTGTTACAGAAAATTTAATATTATGAAAAAAGTAATAAATACAGCAATACCAAAATAATAATAATTATTTTTATTATTGCATTGAGTTTTATACTACCCTTAAGAGATAGCGAGTCTTTGCAAGGAAATCAGTCATTACCATCTGGATACAGCATATCAAAGGACAAATATAGACTTACTTTTCCAATGTTTGACATCGATAGACTTGGTATTATTAGTTTTAAAAAAATGTGGGAAAGCTAGATTATCTATAAAAAAATGGGGAAACTTCTAAACTTCTATAATTTTGAACTCCTTATACATAAACATTTTTTGAACTTAGGTGTAATTCATAATTGCCCAATATCATAATGAGGTTAGATTGCGTGACTACTGTAATTCTTTATTCCCTAACCCAATGCTACCAGGAAAATGCTGTGCGCATTTTCTATTTTTTGTGAAATGTCTCTGCACATAGATGGCTCTGCTAGTGCTTAGCCACAAAGGAGTCAATTAGTAGACTTTGTGACCTTACCTAATTTTTTTTACCAATGCTATGAATATTGACGGTGTCATTATAATTACTATAATGTTATAGACATTTGTAACGGTAATATAAGATAATGTTAGATATTTTTGAAAATCAATGAAAAGGGTAAACAGGTGAGACAGGTAGTACTTGTAATTGGCTCACTGATGATTTAGTACAAGTGTAATCATCTATGTGTAAAAACAGTTAACAAAGTAAACTTTCAGTAGGCATGGCATGTACGTACATGCTATGCTCGGCGGTATTGGGTTAAGTTAGGAACTAGTTGCCTGATTTTTATTTGTTTAGTATCAATCACCATTTCTTACAACACTCTATACAGATACCAAAATTAATTGAAATCAAAGGAAATTCACCAGCATAACCAAGCGTAATTAGTGGTAGATCCCCTCAAACAGGAATTAATGAATTAGTTTAAATAGCATGTTTAACCCAATGACGCCGGATGTACAAAACAAAACAAAAAACTATACGCTCTAGCAAACAAAGGCGGTGCGCTGACTTTGAGCGCGTGAGTAGGGGACATCAGCCCCGAATCACAGGCTCACCGCGCTTTGGCGCACCGCCGCGGCGTACAGCCGCACGCCAGCTTTTGAGCAGTTTGTTTGCACGCCAATCGGCGTCACCCAGCACCAAGGGGTTAAGTAAAGATGTGTATATGAACAGTGATAAAGGGAGAATATGTCTCTGATGTAATTATTATTAGAAAAAAATATAAACATAAAAATACTGATAATGATGAAGGACAAAGTAACTGTGATTGTTCATGCCACAGGTCCAGAACCTCCCTCCTGGAGCTGATGCAGATTCTGTTTTTGACGATGAAACACTGGAGAAAGTCCAAGAAGCCATGGGGACAGTGGGCTCTGTGGTGCTTGTGCGCTTCGTGGATAACAGAGTTTGGTTCACGTTCAGTGATTCACAGACAGCACTAAAGGCCATAGGATGTAGTCCTTTACAGGTGATTGAGACTGCGATTAAGCTTGCCTGTGTGGATAGTTGATATTTTGCTTTCTTGGCAAAAAAAAAGAGATAAAAGATAATTGATAAATAACTGTAATTAATGCACCAGAATGTATTTATATTTTATAGTAATAAATACATAGAAATACATGTGCAGTATTTCACCCGTCTGATAATGATTACAGATAGGTGGACACAGGCTGGAAGTGAAGCTCAAGACAGAGGCATGGAGAGACCAGCTGGAGGAGGAGCTTGCCCTCTGTGGGGACACTACTGTGCCTCTTACAGATGAGACCCTCAATATCTCAGACCAAGTGGATACTTCTTTCAGCATTAGAAATATTGAAGGTAAAAAGTGTACATTATTTATCCGTTTTTATTTTTTATTATTATTTTATTTATTTTTTTTTTTTTTGGGGGGGGGGGATTACTTTAACCAAAATTGGCTGGTCATTTAGTTATTTAACTGGCCCCAAATATTTCTCAATATGTGTGACATTTACCCTATGACAGGGCTCAACCTTTGCTGATGTACCTCTAACTTCTTGAGTATGGATAAGTAGTTGCTCTGCTTCTAAAATTAAAGTTAGGAAATATTTTTTTCTCTCTTTTTCTTTCTTTATTAGTATTATAATTATTACTACTAGTACTATTAATACTATTATTATTGCTAACAGCTAAAATGTTAATGAGGTTGGGGCCTCACCTCCCCATTCTTCCCTTGCATAATTATCTAAAATCAGTCATGTGGATGACCTAGACTGGCACGAACCAATGCTCATTCTCACTCATTCAATGATTGCATTAATTCACAATATCCCACCAATTACGCACCATGCATAGCCAATCATCAAAGCAATTTAAGGAGGAAGACTACACCAGCAGTGAGGTCTGTGACTACATATCTGACACCGCTGCTGAGAGTGATTAGAATGGGAGGAGTTAAATAACTTATCTACCCATGACACATTGATCAACTCCAACAAGCCACTGTCCATCATAGCTTGTTGTTTTTCCAACTGGAAGAAGCAAGAGCCTGTCACAAGGTCTTATGGTCTTTCTGTATCACCAGGGGTCAAGTAAATCCACCTGATTACAACCTCTATGCCTCTCTATGACTGATTCATGAGGCTGGAGTACAAGTCTTCTGATTTCTTTGCATGTCTTTGCTGAGACCATGTCCCAGAACAGCTACGACATGTTGACGTCCCACCTGTATTTTGCAGATAATGAGGACCCCCACACTTCTGATGACTACCTATGGAAGCTGTGACCTGTTGTCATCATCCTGAATGCTCCATTCAAAACTGTCTTTACTCCAACTCAGAAAATAACAGTCACTGTGTCCTTGCAGGCATTTGGTGGAAGACATCATGCTGTCCAGTAAAACCTTTGAAGAGGGTGTGGTTTGGCATGAAGTCATACAAGCTGTGAACCAGCAAGGGCCCCCCACAGGATATGTATCTGCCTTCAAGATATATATGGTCCAAGACTGAGCAACTTTCCAGTCTCCATGAAGGCACTGGTGGAATTGATGACTGCCACAGGCCTGTTTGAGAAGGGCTACAATCTTTACTTTGATAACGTATTCATCACCTACACTCTTCCACTACCTGCAGAGTCACAAAACCAAAGTCATTGGCACTGCCCGGTTAGACCAGAAATTCATGCAAGACTTTTAAGCATGGTCGATTTTCTGTGCACTGCTATGGGATTTGTGGCCCTGTCCTGGGTCTTTGAACTTGTTCTCCACCATCCACTACAGTGAGAGGTCAGAAAGAAGCCACAGGTTGTTGTCAACTACAATGCTGGGATGAAAGGAACATGACTGTTGTCGATGTTTATGTCATCCACAGGGCTCTCAGGCATTATCCCAGCTCAACTTCTGACTAATTTGATCTCAAACCTCCTTTGGTATCTGCCACACTGAGGGAGGAAACACCTGTGTGCCAGCCACCCCACCACTTTCCCACCACTGATGCCAGCAGCATCAGCAATATCTGCCAGCTGGACATGTTCAGCTCTGGGAAAAAGTATTACCATTGCTAGATGAGGAAGTAGACTTGAAACTATATTGTGCATATTTTTATATGCACTATCTATTTTTCCCATGAACATATTCATAACTGAAACTTGCATACAATTTTCAAATACAAACCTCATTCAGTCTACAAAACCAAAGCTATGGCTCTCCAGAGACTCAGTAGTCATAGTCTTGATGTTCAGAGATGAAATACAAGTAAACGAAGGGGAAATAATGTAGGACAAACTCCTTTTAACATATGCAACTAAAATAATAATAATAGTAATAACAATAAATAACTTAATAAAAAAAATGCTGTTTGACATTAAATTAAATTAGCAGAGTATGGAGATATAACATCCATAAGTGTCTAAAGTACTACTAATTGATAATGTACATGTCTTCCCTCTCCATTTTCTACAAATCCAAAATTGTGAGCAATTGTAAACTATGAGGAATGGTGCAGGCCTTGGTCCAAGCAAACAAGCTCCCATCGCAGCCACTTACATGGTCCCCACCCACCCAAGCAATTTGGTTTAAATATTGGATTAGTTTTTATTTGTTGATTATTACTTATGCAGGTTTTGGTTTCCATTTTAAGACTAACCCGACTATTTGACATAGCACCAAAGTTACATTTTCCTTTTCAGCACTTTGCTCTTCTGTCTTTTTATTCCACTTATTTCTGTTCTTTATGAATATCTCTCTCTTCATTATTTACCTCCCAAAGTATCTTATTTGAATCTAATTCCAAAGATTAAATGCTTCAAATACACTTTCCCTCCTTCCCTTCCCCATTCATCTATCTCACAAAGTAAATAAAAAACATTGGCAATTATTTGACAGGTGCTATGGAGAAGTTGTATCAGTCAGAACTTGAGGCCGAAGAGGAGCCGGCCAGCAGTGAACCAATAAAGGAACAGCGGTCGCCCATCCAGCCCTCTCGGCCTCCACCTCCACGCCCTGCCCCCTCAAGGCCTCCCCCTCCTCGCCCCACTCCTCCAGGATCTGCCCCAACCTCCCCTGCCATAAGCCGGGCTCAGACCAAGGTTAGTGGACCAGTAGCTTATTTGTAGATATTTTGTAATAAAAACTTAGTAGCTATTTTTTAATAGTAACTAATATACAGTGTACATCTGTCCTAAAAATTTGCAACCATCCTAAAAGTATCGAGCTGGTATTTTATCTGGTAACTTGTAGTGCATTCATGTAGGACAATATGATCAATGTTTAAAAAAGTTCTAAACAAACTTAGTCACTTAGATTTTAATATTTGAAATGATATGCATAAAAGAGCAATGCAAATACAGACATTCCATGCCATAACTTTTTAAATGAATGCTAATGGCCTCAATTATATTCATAACAGCTTACATTCACTAAAGGATGAATGCTTTGAAAAGAAAAGAAAAAATCATTATATTATTAATAGTATGAATAATGATAACAATAAATGAACAAATAGAATAGATATAAATACGTGTAAATGTCTACTGTCAGTATTTCCTTTTCCCTTCCCATATTATTTGAGAGCTCAGTACCGTTTGTGTAACATATAGAATTATATTTCATGTAATCCTTATAAAACTTTGCTTGATATGGAAGCTACTTTTACATGTGTCATTTAGTCGACTCATTATTTTTTTTCTTTCTTTCCTTCTTCCTTTCATTATTTCTTTCTTTTTTTCTTTCTTTTTTTTTAGAAAAAAAAAAAAAATGAAAAAGTGATTTGGCAATATTGCCCTACATTATAATGGAAATAAAAAATACAGAAAGTTGACCTCTTTTGTACAGGGGTAACATACATACTCAAATGGCAGATGCATTTAATGAAATAATCATATTCATTTTTAAGGTAAAATTACATCAAAATCATGTGCCGGGCATGCCTATAGCCATCATGAAAAATAAATTCATCATGGAAGGTACAACTACAGGGGTCACAGCTTATTAACCCCTTCACGACGGGTGACGCCACTAGGCGTGAAAACAAACCGCTCGAAAAGTGGTGTGTGGCTGTACGCCGCGGCGGCACACCAAAGCATGGCGAGCCAGTGATTTGGGCTGATGTACTGAACTCATGCACTTGTTTGTTTGTTTGTTTTTTCTTCTTCTTCTTCTTCTTCTTCTTCTTCTTCTTCTCTCTCCACTTGTCACCATTGGGTTAAAGGGAGTCAGCCAGGAAGTTCCACTATGTGTAGCCGACTTCCTGGCCAAAAGGCTAGACGGTTGCCGGAAGTCACCGGAATTGAGTGACACCCAGAGATTTCTGATACTATCTTTGTAGGGTTAAGGGTACCCAGGTTAGACGGTGACACTCCTCTTAAATTGGTAATGTAAATACCGCAATAGAACTTGGTTATATGTAATATAGAGATGCTTCATGACTGAACAAGGGAAAGCAAATAAAGATGTATGGATAGTATGTTTTTAAATCTTTTCCCAAGTGAATTGTCAAGTCAAAACAACAATCAGTACATAAATGATATTCAGCGGGAAAGGTAGCTGATGGTTAGAACATTTGATTATTTATTTATTTTCAATTTATTTATCTTTTTTTTCTTCATGGAAGTATTTATCCATAAGCAGGTGTAAGTTATCAGCAGAATAGCTATGTTAGGGCTTTAACCCATTGCCGCCGGGGAAAATGAACAAAAAATGGGGAAAATGCTGTACTCATTTTTTATATTTTTGTGAAATATATCTGTACATAGATGGCTCTGCTAGTCCTGATTTCACCTTTCCTTGAATTGGCAGGAAAAAACGTATTCTTACTAGTGCTATAAATATAGATGGTGTTATTTTTAACAGCAAATTAGGATAACGTTAAATATTTTCGTAAATCATTGAAAAGGGTGAACGGGCAAGACAAGCAGTACTTGTAATTGGCTCACTGGTGACTTAGTACAAGTGTAGCCATCTATGTATAAAGACAATCAAGCAAGTAGACTCAGAGTGAGCATGGCATGTACGTACATGCCATCCCCGGCGGCAATGGGTTAACATTCTATTAGGAAATTAAGTTAGGGAATGTTTCTTCTTAACCCCTTCGTGCCGGGTGACGCCGATCGGCGTGTAAACAAAGAGCTCGAAAGCTGGCGTACAGCCGAACGAGCCGGCAGCGAGCCAGTGATTCGGGCTGATGTCCCCTACTCACGCGCTCAAAGTCGGCGCACCGCCTTTGTTTGTTTAAGCGTAGAGTTTTTTTTTCTTTTGTACACCCGGCGCCATTAGGTTAAACTTTCCTATGTATTTTATTTTAAGTGAAAAATTTGTTTAGCCTTGTTTAATATTGTTTATTCAACAATAAGATTTGTATTGTTACACTTGAATACCCTAGTTTTCCCAGATGTAATCCAAGCTCAGTGATCTTATGGTGGCTGCAAATTTATTTGGCTTGCTGTACGTAAATATAGAGCTGCATCTTATGTCATACTCTCTTCTAATTAGAAAAAAAACTAATGTTTCAGGTTAAGGTCATCACAAAGCCTGTGCGACCTTCTCAACTGGCACCAACAGGAAGCTCTATGGCCTCAAAGTCACCCACTGCAGAGGAACCGAACCAGGAAACTGCTCAGCGTCCCAAACCTCCTAAGCCAGAGGTGGAAGCGCACCTAGGGCCAAAGCCAGTTCTACCACCCCGTACTCCATCTTTAGAAAGTCCTGTCACAGAAAAATCTGCAGCTTCCTTCACTAGCTCCCTGTTTGGTGGTCCTCCTTCACTACCAGCTGACCTTCCTCCCTCTGCCACCAGTGATCAGCCCTCTGTGTCCCCCTTTGGTGCTCCACCCTCATTGCCAGACAATTGTCCTCCATTGGTGCAATCTTCAACTAAACCTTATGAGGGGCAGCCTGCAGCTTCTCCCTTTGACAGCCTGCCTTCTAAGCCTGACAATGTGCCTCCTAGCATACCTCCATCTGAAACTCCACCTTCTAGCCAGCCACCTTCAGGACCCCCTCCCTCAGGGCCACCACCAGGTCCTCCCCCCTCCCTTCCCCCTCCTGGACCACCACCTTCTCTCCCACAAAATGGCCCATCCTCAGCTCCCCCAGCAGGGCCCCCGCCTAGCTTACCTGCAAGGACACTCCCTCCTGTGCCAGCTAGAAGTGGTGGAGGTGCACCTCCTCCAATACCATCCCGATCCTTACCCCCAGTCCCTGCGCGAAATCTTCCTCCAGTGCCACCACGAAAGTAATTTTGTGTCCTTTCAGTTAAGTATATAGATGGCTTTTCTGGGGTTTGTCAGGTGTCTTTTTTTCTAGGTGAAAATCTAATACATCTAATTACATAGTGAATTTGGGTAATACATTATGCGGATGCATGAGGAGAAATATATCTTGTTTGAAAAGTTCTCCTTTGTCATTTTGGAAGGATAGGAGAAAGAATGCTGATTGTTATAAAGCCATTGATAGCTAAAAACTTTTTGTCTTTAAGTTCAGTATTATTACCGATTATTTCTCTTATCTAGTCCTATGTGATTTTCTTTGTGATTGTGCAAGTGCAATGTGTTGATTTGTTTAATTTTATTTGTAAAAAGTTTCATGCAGGCATATATCTGTATGTGCCCTTACACAAACATCCACACAAATGCATACATTCATCCACATGCCTGCACTCACCTCTCATACAAACACACTCATTTAGATACAAGATTGAAATTTTATATAAATCATTTATTTAAGATATTTATTTGCATTTTATCATGTAAACCTTTCAGTCACAGCAGATTTTGATGACCATATACCAAATTTTCTAATGGTAAACATTCAAGATCACTAGGATATTAATGTCACTTTGAGTTGCTATAGATTTACATGACCCCAAGCCTAATTAATTTGTAAAGAAATCAGATTTTAAAAGCTATTATAATTCATTCACTCATTCATTGTGATCCATACGTAGCGGATTCAGTACATGGTTTTCCAAATTTCTTTTCTTTGTTCTCTCTTTTTAATTTGCTAAATACCCTCAAAACTTAATATTTCTTCAATTCTGTTTATCGAACATTTATTTATTTAATTTCTTTTATTGTGTATGTGTTGCCAAAGCACGTATTTGAATTATGAACTTTTCATAAGGTCACCAAGTTCAAGAAAAAGAATTATTGTAGAATTTGTATACCTGCAGGGACTTGTTTTAAAAATCTGGTAACTGTAAAGACAATTTTATTAATTATTATTATTATTATTATTATTATTATTATTATTATTATTATTATTATTATTATTATTATTATTATTATTATTATTATTATTATTATTATTATTATTATTATTATTATTATTATTATTATTATTATTATTATTATTATTATTATTATTATTATTATTATTATTATTATTATTATTATTATTATTATTATTATTATTATTATTATTATTATTATTATTATTATTATTATTATTATTATTATTATTATTATTATTATTATTATTATTATTATTATTATTATTATTATTATTATTATTATTATTATTATTATTATTATTATTATTATTATTATTATTATTATTATTATTATTATTATTATTATTATTATTATTATTATTATTATTATTATTATTATTATTATTATTATTATTATTATTATTATTATTATTATTATTATTATTATTATTATTATTATTATTATTATTATTATTATTATTATTATTATTATTATTATTATTATTATTATTATTATTATTATTATTATTATTATTATTATTATTATTATTATTATTATTATTATTATTATTATTATTATTATTATTATTATTATTATTATTATTATTATTATTATTATTATTATTATTATTATTATTATTATTATTATTATTATTATTATTATTATTATTATTATTATTATTATTATTATTATTATTATTATTATTATTATTATTATTATTATTATTATTATTATTATTATTATTATTATTATTATTATTATTATTATTATTATTATTATTATTATTATTATTATTATTATTATTATTATTATTATTATTATTATTATTATTATTATTATTATTATTATTATTATTATTATTATTATTATTATTATTATTATTATTATTATTATTATTATTATTATTATTATTATTATTATTATTATTATTATTATTATTATTATTATTATTATTATTATTATTATTATTATTATTATTATTATTATTATTATTATTATTATTATTATTATTATTATTATTATTATTATTATTATTATTATTATTATTATTATTATTATTATTATTATTATTATTATTATTATTATTATTATTATTATTATTATTATTATTATTATTATTATTATTATTATTATTATTATTATTATTATTATTATTATTATTATTATTATTATTATTATTATTATTATTATTATTATTATTATTATTATTATTATTATTATTATTATTATTATTATTATTATTATTATTATTATTATTATTATTATTATTATTATTATTATTATTATTATTATTATTATTATTATTATTATTATTATTATTATTATTATTATTATTATTATTATTATTATTATTATTATTATTATTATTATTATTATTATTATTATTATTATTATTATTATTATTATTATTATTATTATTATTATTATTATTATTATTATTATTATTATTATTATTATTATTATTATTATTATTATTATTATTATTATTATTATTATTATTATTACTTTTGGAATGCAAAAGTAATAAGGCTTTCAATGTGTTTTTGGAGTTTTCCTCAGAACACACACAAATAACAAGTTGTTAATTAATTTCCAACATTTATATTAGTACTAAATAGATATTTGGTACTGTATAAAACTCATTTCAAAAGAAAAAAAAATATGCTGTAGAGATACACATCATTCTTATGGCTCTTTGTGACCTGTTCCTTTCTCCTTAAATTTCCTTTCTAGAAATCACGACATTCCGACCATATTCGAGAATATTTATTTAGAAACAAACATGAATTAATTGTTGATGTGTGTGTATGTTTTGTATAGTACCCGTAAAATGTTGTGTATATTCATAAAGTGAATGTGAGATTCTCTGTAGTTGTTGGCAGAATATCAGCCTATATAAAGGTAATGTGGTATGTACTAACACTAGTCATTTCTTTACTTTCATACTGTGCAGAATGACTATTTGCATCTGTAATAGCTCAGGAGCTTGTAGCCATTGTGAAAGTTAAAAGAGTAGATTTGTTGTGTTTCCAAAGCATTATGCAAAGATTTCTGTATAGACTGTGATGTTAATCTTTAAAATAATGCTATACTCAAAATATGTAATAATATATACAGTATAATGTAAGAAGTAAAACAAAAAACTGCACAGATTTCAATAATACTGAATTTTACTTCATTTGTAATTATTTATTGAAATATATAGTGAGATGAGCATTTGTTATGTTTATTGTTCCATTGTTAATTGTTGTGCTTTAAAGTGATTGAATATAACAATAATTACGTTATATAAGGGAAGGAAGGGTAGACAGTTTATACAGATACTCATATACGGTACTGACATTCCACAATTTTATATTACCTTAAGTACAATGTTTATTAGGTTTGTGTAATTCTAATATCTGGGATAGTAGTAGGTTCCTAAGATTTATTATTATTATTATCATTATTTATATTATTATTATTATTATTATTATTATTAATTACTACTACTATTACTATAACTACTATTATTTTATAATTATTTTTATTATTATTATTGATTACTACTATTACTGTTGCTACTATTATTTTATTACCATTATTAACAGTTATTATTATTATTATTATTATTATTATTATTATTATTATTATTATTACTATTATTATATTACTATTATTGATATTTCTATTATTATTATTTATTTTTTTACTTTTTTTTTCACTATTACTATTACCATTGCCATTACTGTTATTGTTACTATTACTATTATCATCATCATCATCATTATTTTTTATTCTTATTGTAGTTATTGTTGTTATTGATTTATCAATAATATTATTATTCATTATTATCAATATTGCTAATGCATATTATATTATATATTCCTTTTGCATGTCATACTACTGATCATTATTTATTTTTGTTTAAATAATAATATTTATCACATTATTAGAACTAATGTGTAATTTCATTATTTTATTCATCATTATTATTTTTGTATGTCAAGTGTAACAGTTGTACTAATTGACAATGCAAGAAGCTGGAGTAGTTAGAAAAATCAGTTGTGTAATGTAAAACAAAGATGACCATAGTATCATTTAAAGACTTATATGAATATAGTAGTCTGTCAAGAGGTAATGCTCCTATATAAACAGTTGTAATATGAATCTTTTTGGAAGAAATATTGCTGCCCAAAAATTTTCAAGAGTTTAATTAATGTTTTTTTCTTAACATCACAGCTGTAATTGTTGTACCAATTGTGACTCATAAAAATTACTTTGTAAGAATATGCCATTGTTGTAATTTCTAAGTGGAGGTAAGATTGCTCAATGCAATTCTTAACTTAATATGAAGTGTGTTGAGGTCTTCACTTAAATTCATATATTGTATGTTGTGCAGATGTAATTAGATTGTAGATATGTAAAAAAAAAAATGAAGATGTTTATGAGAATGTGATAATTTTATTTTACCCTTGGCTCAACTAATTTTTATGGTCCCTCCCTTCCATTTCCGTCCCTTCTCCAACCACTTCTACTTTCTAAGGTGTGAGAGCCATGTTGAAAGGATGAAAGGCTGAAATTGTGCCAGCCCGCAACAGCCTAGAGGAGCCATGGGCACATTATGAATTGTATAACCCCTCAAGGGGACCCTGAGGGGTGGACTGTTCTCTCCCCAACATACTCTAGGCCATAACATGAGGGCACTGAGGCTTGCCTCTTCATCAGATAGCCCCACTGACTCAAATTCTCCCAGTTCCCTGACCTCAGGTTCCCCTTTGACCATGACTCAGAACACTACTACTACCACCCCTTCGTTAATGCTTTCCTTAATCCACCCAGGTCAACACTCAGACTCCATAAGACATTCCTACTCTCCCAACTACCTCTCTCAACACTACTACCTCTTCCACACGTCCCCGTCCTTCTACTACCCCCACCTCTACAGATATCTTTAATATTCTATTTTGGGAAATGGGCCGATTTTTTGTGATCCCCCTCCTCCCCACAGCTCCTTAATCTGACAATACACTTCTCTTCCAGCAATGACATCCAAAAACAAGTAGGCAAAGTTTCTATCCGCAGCCGATCCGATTGTTCCCATCACACAGTTACATCCGAAACCCAAGCTTTAGTATTATTAACCCATTCCCGCCGGGCATGCCATGCCATGGCCACTGTGAGATTACTTGTTGGATTGTTTTTACACATAGATGGCTACACTTGTACTAAATCACCAATGAGCCAGTTACGAGTACCGCCTGTCTCGCCCATTCACCCTTTTCTTTAATTTACGAAATATTTTACGTTATCTTATTTTGCTGTTACCAATGTTAAAAAAACATTATAAAAATTACAATGTTTATAATAAAAATAACACCATCGATATTCATGACACTAGTGAAAAATACGTATTCAAATCAGGCATTAACAGAGCAATCTATGGGTAGACTATTCACAAAAATATATAGAAAATAGGATCAGCATTTTCCCCATTTTTTGTTCATTTTCCCCAGCGGCAATGGGTTAACCCTAACTGCAGAACCTCATCCCATCCTCGGTACTTGTACCGGAACGGTCTCCCTCTCCCCAACAAACTGCCTGTCTATAACAAAAATTGGTCAGATTGAGAAGACTTACTCGCCTCACGGACTATAGTGTATTATCAATGTACTGCTACACCATTATCCCAAGAGGCCATTGTAAGAACCCCACCAACATTGCTAAGATTACTTTCCATAGGCTTGACTTCCCTTTTAATATTTACATTGGCGGAGAACCCCTCCCCCATCAATGTCAAAATCGTTGGCGTTTAGGACATCCTGCCAAACTGCCGCCACAGCCCAATGCCCTCTATGTGCCCAACATGGTCATAACCGATCAAATTGCATGTGCTGACTTAATGTATTTTATAGGGGCTGCCCCATCTGCAAGTTTGAGTTTGAGGTGGGAACTCTCAGATTCAGATTTGGCCTCACTCTGTGTGAAGCTAGACTAGGTTTTTCTCTTACACCATACTCCAAT